AAGATTGGGCATCTTTTTCACTTGATCTCCAGTAAGTTTCTTTTAGATTTTTCTTTCAAATCTCACTCATATTTCATCATTTTCTTTCTTTTAAAAGTTACTCTACTTTATAATACTTAGGGAGATCTTAGTCTTTGGATAATATCTTCCATAAAAAAAATGTTGTACCTTTCTTTTGGATCTCAAGGAGAACTTGGCCTTAGAGACATTGTCTTTCATTTTTTTGCTATGAGAGACCTATTTTCAAGTAAAGAGAATTGATCTCAAAGCCTAACTCCTATTTTTAAGTTTTTGGCTTAAAAACTTAAATTTTTCTTGTTTTGGATAGTAGAGTCCTAATGTTTTCTTAAAATTACAGTGTTAAAAATAGATTTTGGGGCATGAAAAACCTATTTATTTATGGAGCTACCTAAACAAAATTTCATAGAAAAAGTTATGAATAAAACTAGTTTTAAGAGGTCTTTACAATTTTGCTATTGATTACTATGTATGTATGGTTAATGTTGTGAATTATTATTTTAAACAATGTATATTAGGAAAAAGGCTAAACTTTAAGATAAATGATTTTATTAAGATCGAGAGAGTGCGATATCTGGCAATGTATCTGTGGTATGTAGTTTTGTTTCAATGTATTTTATAATGTATGATTGAGTTGAGTCTAAAGTTGTTCAACTTTTGACATATTGTATTAATTTGTGTAACGTGATATTTTAAATTATTAAGAAAGTGTGAAATTAATTGCATGTGATAATTCATTGTAACTACTTTTGATACTTCATTTGATTTGATACATTTTAATACATGAGGACCTTATTTTACTAATTCTATTTTGGATTATAAGATATTTTCTAACCGTTGTTGACAATTATAGTAAATTCACTTGGATAATTATTTGAAATCAAAATTTAAGGTGAGACAACACCTTTAGCAATTTGTCACACACATAGAGACACAATTCAACAAGAAACTTAAATGTATACGAAGTGATAATTGTGTGAAATTTATAATGCCTGAATTTTATCTCAACAAAGGAATTGTTCATCAAACCTGCGGTGGTGGAACACCCCAACAAAATGGGGTAGTTGAGAAGAGACATAAGTGTATTCTCAATGAAGCTAAAGCACTTTTTCATCAAGCTAGGCTCCCAAAGAATTTATGGTCTTTTGCTATTAAACACGCAGTTCACCTTATCAACCGAATTCCTTCAACATTGTTAGGAAACAAGTGCCCCTATGAACTACTCTACAATGAACCACCTAGTCTCATTCACCTTAAAGTTATTGGATGGCCCTACAGACAAAATTTGATGCAAGAGCTAGAAAAGCAGTCTTTTTGGGCTACAAAGATGGTACAAAGGAATATTTACTCTTTGATCTTTCCTCTCATCAATTGTTTGTTAGTCGCAATGCTGTCTTCTATGAGAACACAATCCATTTCTCTCATGATTCTAAATTAGTCTCACAGTCTTACTTACCGCAATTAATTTTCAATAAAAATAATTTTAGTGAAGATGTTTCAATCGTTCAACCTAATAATGTTGAACTTGATCCACCTAATTTTGTTGTAGATATAGACATTTCATCCACAAATTCTCCTACTCAAAAGTCTAAAAGATTGAAATGCTACCCTACTTACTTACATGACTATCATTGTCATTATGCCCCTTGTGATGCTCAAAGCTCTAACTACTCCTCTTCACCATATCCTCACTCATTTATGTTGTTGTACTCTAAATGTTCTCATAATTATCAATATTTTTGCCTTAATATTTTTACATATATTGAGCCAACTACATATGAACAGGCTTTCAAACATGATTGCTGAAAAATTGCCATGAGGGATTAATTAGATGCTCTTAATCAAAATAATACATGGTCAATTGTTGATTTTCCTCCAAAAAATAACTCAATAGTTGTAAATAGGTTTACAAGATCAAATACAAAGCAGATGAGACTATAGATAGACATAAGGCCTACTTAGTTACATAAGGATACACTCAAATAGAATTGACTATTTTGATACTTTTTCTTCAATTGTCAAACTCACTACTATCAGGATTTTACTTGTAGCTGTGCCAACAATTAGTTCCTTAACAATTGGACGTCAATAATGCATTTCTTCGCGACGATCTCCATGAAGAAGTGTATATGAGCCTTCCACTAGGTCTCTCCTACATTCCATCCTCTAAGGTTTGTCATCTTCATAAATCACTCTATGGATTAAAGTAAACTAGCAAGCAGTGGTATGTCAAGCTATCTCTTGGGACTTGAAATTTCAAGTCTAAGACTAGTCTCATCATCAATCAATGCAAATACACTTTGGAATTATTGCAAGATGCTGGTCTCTTGGCTTGTAAACTGATTACTGCTCCTTTGGACCTTAACCCCCCTGCCCCCAGTCCTTATGATCATTATTCATATCATCGATTAATTGGCCATTTACTTTACTTGACCACTACAAGGGTTGGTATTTATTTTGTTGTTCAAAAACTTAGTCAATACATTCCTAAACCCATGCAACCCCATTTTGATACTACAACTGGAATTCTTCGTTACCCTAAAGATTCTTCTTCCCATGACTTATTCTTTCCTAGTGCTTACGATATAAGGTTTGCTGCTTTTGCTTATTCAGATTGGGCTTCTTGTATTGATTCCTTAAATTTGTCACCGGCTATTGTGCCTTCATTGGACTAGCTTTGGTTTGGTCTAAGAAACAATCCATTGTTTCTCGCTCCCCATCTGAAGCTAAGTATCATGCATTGGCTTCAATGGATTCAATATATCTTTGATCTTCATGTTAAGCTCACTAAACCAAACTGATGTCTATTGTGACAATAGATATGCAATTTACATTGCAAAAAATTTGATTTTTCATGAAAGGACAAAAAAAGTCATAGAAAGTTAATATTTATTTTCTTTTATATTCTAATAATGTTCACTCTTAAATGATTCAATACAAAAGTATTTATAGTATAAGATCCGAAAAACTACGAAACCAATAATCACCGGTTAACAAACAAACTTGGGTACAATATTACTTGCCTAACAAAATAAATTTCTATTTATAGTGTAATACCTCCCTTCAAGTTGGACTATGTGTGTTATATAGGCCAAACTTGGACACAATAGCATTACAAAGCACAGTGGGCAGAACTTTAGTATAAACATCAACAAGTTGAGACAATGATGGAACTGGATGAAGATGAATCAATCTGGAGTAAAGTTTTTCTCGACTTATTTTCTTACCTTAATTGATAATTGATTGTTTCAAAGATAAAATGTATACGTTGAAGACTAATATAATTCTTTTATACGATAAAAACTCAAACTAATTTGGTGACTCGTTGAAATAAAGAAAATTAATATGATGATTTTTTTTCTTTGATACACGGATATGCAATACCAAGAAAGATTATTACTTCTGAATATGCAAAGAGAAGTTAATATAAAAGTAAACAACATATAATGCTGAAAACACAAACGAAATTTCGTTGAGGTAAACAAACCATTTTCCAATTGTTGAAGGTAAGAATGGAAATGACTAATGCAACGAAATATTATATGTTGAAATTCGTAGTATTGTTTACTATTGCAGTATTATATGTTGAAATTCGGAAAAAGTGAATACTGCAATTCGTAGTATTTGTAATTTTTCCAACAAACTAAAGATTAATAGGAAAGTTGAAATAGACGTTAAGATTGACAATAAAGGGGGGAAAATGAAGGACAGGCAGTGGCACTTTCTATCATTAAAGCAGTAAGCAGAAGAACCATTAGCAAGAGCAACACAAGGTAATAGAGAAGACTGAAATGAAGAATGAAGACCTACAGGTACCATTGGTGTTGCACCAAAATCCAAGCCCCACTTGAGGGAGGAATACGCAAGACAATTAGTAGGATTACCTTACTAAACGGTAGAAATAAATAGGCTTGACTCACCAAAATCACACAGAAAACACTAAATAATATCTGAGCTTCAAAGAAAACACCAGAACAAGCAAAAAGAACTGGAACACACTTCACAAAAATGCGTCAATCAGGGATGATTCCAACTCCCAACGCCACAACATCTCTGCTTGCTTCTCTCTAGCTGGAAGTGACATCCCAGGTATCCAGAAACACCACCCACAACACCCTAGGCAAAGACTAAGTTCATTTAGCATGAAAAATAATAAACTAACTCAACCTTGTTAGTTCCCCTGTATCTATATTTATACAAAGAAACAGTACAGTACAAGAAAGAAAGATATAGTCCCATAGCACATAATAAACTATTGATTATATCATCCAACATTAATGAAACTATATAATGTATTCATGAGAACATTGAATTGACTAAGATTTAAACATTTTTTTGTGATTGTCTTGGTTGTTTTGAGGTTTCAATTGCACACTTCATGGTTTGATTACAATCAATCAATGTAGCAATCATAGCCTAATAATTAGCTAATCAATATAGTTGAGCTTGACCAAGAGCTAATATTCTAGAACTGAAAGGTGTGGCCGGGCCTATAAGGCTCTCACATGGTTGGATACGGCAGACAACATTTTTCCCACAAGCAAATAGAGTATATCCAATATTCGTATTACTTGAAATCTCGTGTCAACTACGGATATGGCCTAAGTAAAACTTATAAAGGCTAAGACAATCCTCACCTTACAAGTTAGTTTTTGAAGTTGAGATAGGTCATAGCTCATATTCAAGAGAATCCACAATCTTCAAGTCACAAGACAACAATCTTATCATTATGCCAAAACTCCCCCTCTACTAACATTTTAGCACTAACTAAATAAAAACTATGCAAGGAAAACATTGAAATCAATAATCCAGGTTGTTGGAAACAATGCCACAAACTGAAGTGTGTTGAAATGCTAAAACAAATGCAATGTCAAAAGTCTTATTTAGCTAAGACAAAACAAGAAATTCATGGATGAAGCATTCAGTGATTTCGGAGCACTGTTTGCTTGATAGGGATCAGAGAAAAGAAGATTTTGAATAAATAATGGTGGCTTCCAAAATGTTGTCAATAACTTTTACACATTGTAGGGAGATCCACTGCACTTGAGCAAAGCAAGAGATAGTGGAAGAGGGAGAGGGCTCACTGCAGAATAACAATTGTCCCCCTGCATCACAATTTTTCAACTTCTCATTCCTCAATTAATCACTTGTTTTCAAATGTAAAAAGTCTAGGTCACAATGTTCCATGTGCTTACCCAATCACACATGGAATATTAGGGGTCAAATTTTTCAATAAATTTATGTATACTATAAACCACAAATAGAGAAAATTCTTTTCAATTTATTGTATAAATCAACTGGCCCAACTTTTGTATCTAAGAACTTGAAGAATTTGATTAACTGATAGATGAGAAATTCCATATAGATGCAAACACTCTGATCCATTATCATCATTGGACAGAAACGCTTGCATTAGCTTTCCCTCTTCCTTTCTAAGTTTCAAAAGTTTAAGAATCTCATTAATACAAGGAAAAAATGCTTGTGGCCGGGCACAATATGGCTGAAAAATAAATATCAGTGCTTGCATATCAGCTTCAAATTGATTGATGCCCATCTTAGAGAACTGAATCTCACTTGTGACAATGCTGCATGAAATGTAATGATCTAGCCCCTCAGCAATGCTCCTCCACAAATCCAAGAAATCCTTTGTATTGAGATTTATCTTCACAATATGAAGCCAACTCTTTAAAGCATCTAAAGCATCAACAAAATCATTGGAGACTACTAAATCAACAGCCTCTCTTAGATTTGTACCATCTTGACCTTGCTCAAAATTAACATTGTTTTGAACATATTCCCAGGAGAGCATTTCAAACTGTCGAAGAACAACAGCAATAATTTCCATAAGCCAGTTGGTTTCCATTTCAGACAAGCTTCTTATTTCTTCATAAAAAAAGCAGTCATAATCCATCATATCATTCAGTACAGGGTTGCCAGAATCATTTTCAGCAATTTTCATCTCCAAAAAATCCACAGCATCGCTCCATTCTTGCAATTTAACCCAAATGTATCTGGCAGCGTTTATTAACCCACATGCTCTAACTATGGCAACATTGTCAGAATTATCAAGGCATAAATCAGTTGCCTTGAACCGCAAAAGTAATATCTTAAAGAAATACCAGAGGAATCTTCCTGCAGTAGATCTAATAAACTGGGCACGTGATAACATAGATGGCATTGTTTGACAGCGTTCAATCATTTCCCAGATAACTTTAAGAAACAATTCTGCAATAGGTGGAGCTTTGTGATCTTCTACAGTAGATGCCAGAGATTCCTGATCAGTGTCAATCCGAGATTTACATTTCTTAGAAATCACCCATGCTTTCTCCTCTTTCAGCTCTGTATTAAGCTTCTTCCAAGCATTTTTGAACTCTATTTTTGCCCAGATCTTCAGCCAATCATACCTATTACAAAATATTGATAGAACTGACATGCCTCTTGAGAGCCCTTCAACACTTTCAGACTCTGCCAAGAAACAAGTATCCAGATTGACCAGAGATTGCATCTTCTTGTCAAAAGCAATGATAATGTCCACAAGGTGAAGCCATGAAGATAATACATCAGGTTTCAAATGCTTAACTTTGTACCTTTCAGCAAGCAAAGGAAAAATCTTCTTTTCTAGAAAGTCAGAAAGCATTTGGACCATTGCAGAGACCCATGCCTCCTTTGCACTACAACTGAGAAGCCTAGCCTTGTCAATAAGAGGCTGCAAGACATCATCTATTCCTGTAATAAAATCTCTGGTAACTTTATATGCCAGAGCAAACATATATTCTGGCTGCTCAGTCCATTTGGCAAAATGGTATTCCATCCTTGATGCAACAGGAAACACTAGTTCATCAATGGCCCAAAGCTGTATATTCTTCTCTCTTTTTACAAGATTGTTGAGTTGTCTTCCTTCCCTTCTATTTTGCAGATGCTGCAAAGCACAAAGAGCAATAAAACTACGAGAGTAATTTCTTCTTTTATCTTCTTGCATAAGAACTAATGGATTGGGAATGCCTGCTATTTGTTCGCTTCCGTTGTTTGACGGCAGCAGTTTTGGTGGCCACCCAAGAGAGACAAGAAGAGCCCGGTGATCTGCAAAAACTTGTGGCCGGAGTGCAGCCAAAATTTTATCTACTCTAATGTCAACAGATTTCAGAAGACAATGCCACTGAGGATTGAATTTCACAACATTAACCAACAATTCTTCAATATCATTCATGGCTTTTATGGCCTGAAGCAATTTGTCATGCTTTCGTGCAGTATCCTACAGCAGAGTACATTCATGCACAACAACCCATGATCAGTGATTTATTTAATATTCCAACATACATTTATCAACTTACCAAAAATGGGAACGATATTTACGTTAGAGATTGGTGAAATCGCAGGCTTCAATGAAAACATATTCCCTGCATGGCGAGCCATGACAAAGAGAGCAGCATCTTCAAGATCCCCAACCAGAGCTTCCAACTGTACAGCAGTATCTGAAACAATAAGTAAGGTAAACTTTACAGGTAGCTAAGTCAAGATACGCAAAAAATTAGAGGCATAAAGCATTTAGCAAAAGAAACTAGTAGACTTAACATCACTAAACAGCTTAATACAGGAGAAGATGCATTGCAAATATGCATTCATATCGTCGTCGAACATTTTAAAAAGTCTGTCTAAGAGGCCAATCAATTAACTAACTAATTTTGCATTTGGTAGCAATGAAATAATAATGATAATAATAATAATAATAATAATAATAATAATAACAACAACAATAATAACCCTTGTCCTATGAATCAAAAATAGAAAATTTTTATTAAAAAGCATTATTAACATACTATCACTGATTTTCAGAAAGTATCTATTTCAAGACCCTAATAATAATAATAATAACAATAACTTAAGAAGAAGAAGAAATGAAAGTACTCTTATAATCCAAAATAATGACAATAATAAATAAAGTACACTCAAATTGATATCTTTCAAAACAGTGACATATGTCGAAATTGAACCAACAAAAACAAAATAAAAATACACTCAGTAACAGAATCTGGAAACTCACCAAAATAGCAATGAAGAGAGTGAATTCGGTTCATTTCATTGGCCAATCGAGGAATCTCCTCACTCAGCACCCCCCGAAACTTCTTCGAGCCAATCCCATCTAAACACAAAACATAAAATAAAATATCTGAAAATAAAAAATATATATAATAAATATTTATTTTATTTTATACGAACGTGGTGAAGTGCGGAGGGAGAGGTTTTGGAGAGCGAGGGAGAGTTGTTGCAGTGATGATTTGGATTTGAAGGAGCGAGAGATCCACGAAACGGCGCGTTTCGTGAGGTGGTTCAAGAGGTGTGACTCTAGTTGAGAATATTGTTGTGCGAGCGATGAGGAGAGAAGAAGATCAGAGGATTCGCGAGATAGGTCTTGTTTGGTTCGCAAGTGTTCATCCAGAAACCCTATGTGTTGCGCTGTGAGGTCCGTGATGTTTGGCAAACAAGGAAGAGCAGAAGAAGAAGAAGAAGAAGAAGAAGGCTCCATTGCTTAATAGTGAGTAGTAACTGATGTGTAGTGTAATGAAAAGGGAGTGTGTTGTTTTCAACTTTGGTTTGGATTCGTCCTTTTTGTAATAACAAGGCAATAAAATTAATTAAGTAAAGTATGTTATAAAAAATTGTATATTAATTATTACAGAAACATCAATTATTGTTGATATGAGAATCTAGAATTATATGACAATATTAAAAAATTATGTAGTGTGAGTATATATCTAAATTAAATTTGATCAAATAACATATTTATAGATATTTTATTTATTTAAAATTTTGTGGTATAACAACTAGCTAAAATAATAATATCTTATAATTTATCGATTAATTATTTTATATTTATATTTTATGTTAAAGTTATTAAGAAGAGTAAATATAAAGTTATCTTTCATCTAGAGTAATATTAATAACGTGCAATTTTAAACTTGATTTTAATGTTATTTTATTGGTATAAATAATTTTACACAATTAAACAATTAAAATATATTTATATATTTTTAAATTAATTATTAGAAAATTTAATAACTTTTAATGATATAAATATTTTTATAATAACAATATAATATTTAATTAATGATAGTGTAAAAAAAGTATATTTCAATTAAACTCTTTTTTGTAACATTCGTTTAAAATATATGTTTTCAATAATTTGTTTAAATATACTTTCTAATTATCTGCCAAAAAAAAGAAAGGCACACTGTTTAATTATGAGATGAATATCATAAGTTTTAAAACATATATGAAATTCATATGTCTCGCTAAAAAATAAAAAAATTATTATTCTTTAATGAAAAAATGTTTTTTTTTTAAAAAAAAAACTCAAACAAGTTAACAGTACTAAACAAAGGGTTAGATTATTTAATTAAACATGGATATATTTACTAAAAAAGAATAAATAAATGGATTATCAAATACTTATTATTCGTATACATTTTTTTGGTGTAATCTTCTTTTGTATATTTGATTCAATTCAATTTTTTTTACTATTAAAAGATTATTTCCCGCTCAGATTAATTTATTTTATAATCAAAATCCTTCAATTAAAATGTTGATTGAATAAATTTCAAAGTATAGTAATTTAATAAATTTATTTATAAATTCAAATGTAAACTTATTAAAATTTTTAAAAATTAGTTTGATAAACATTTCCATAAAATATCTTGAAATACATTAAAACATTTATAAGATCGAATAACAAAGGTCACTTTCAGAAAATTAAATAAATTCTTTCAAATTTCCGAAAAGATGGAAAAATTTATTAAAATTTCTATGTATTAAAACTAATTGACTGTCAATTTACATATTTATAAATATGTTAACCTTTTATTTATTAGAGGAGCTGTTTTTTTTTTCTTAATTGTCGACAATTTAACTTTTTATAATCTAGTAAGGTTTAATATATTACGTATAAATCTTTGTCATTTTTTCATTTTATGTTTGTAAAAGGAAATGAAGTTGTCGTGTTTTAAGATCAGAGTATATTATAGGCTTTATTAAATATTTGCAATAATTCATATAAATGTCTTATAATAAATCGATCATCAACGAAAATAATAATCACTCGTTGTTAATACTAAAAAGTTTCCTTTGTTAATTAATTGTTTGCTTGCGTGGGATACCAATGTCACCATCCTAGCAAGAACAAACAAAAATCATGATGAATAAATTTTACAGTGTCAACTCAACACAGTCTTTCAACTTTATGTTTTAAGAAATATACATCTATTTATAATTTTAAATATTGCATATCATTTTCACATTCGACACAGAGCTCTATTTGAAACTTTAAAATGTTAACATTATTATTATTATATAAAATGATTTTTTGTCAATCAACCCAATATTTTAATGAAATTAAATTATGAAAAAATGTTATGAATTCATCTTTTATAAGGAATTGTTTATAGATGAATTCATTTTATAAATTTCATGATGAATTAATTTAAAATAAATTTTAAATTATAGATGAGATTTTTCATATTACTTATGATTAAAATAGTTATATTATGAAAATAATAATTGAGTAGATGTCTCAATAATAATAATAATAATAATAAAAACTTCATATTGTATATAACTCAAGTTTGTACCAATAGATGTGGGAAATTTTTTGGAGAAGATAATTGTGTTTATGGGAAGGAGATTTATGACAATAGTTGAAAAATTATGGAGGTAAAAGATTGAGAAAAAATGTGAATAATATGATGATATGGAAGTATGATGGTAATAAGGATTGGTAATAAGAATTATAACGTGCAATCTTATTACTATATTTATCATTTTTTTTATTGTAGGTAATTTAAAGTTGTGTTTAGTGCGAACTTTACGCAAAATTTAGAAGGTCATTGTATGGAGAAAGGTAGTGATATTTGCTTGGTATCTGCTGCCTAATGCAGTTCTGGTGTGGAGAAATATGACCAAATGCAAATTTTTATTCCTCTAGAGCTTATGGGTTGTGTGATATATATAAAAGATGAGGATGTCATGCACTTTTTTTTTGCATTGCATTATCTCTGAGATATGAGATTGTGGTATATGATGTTCGAATGGTTTGATGTCAGTTTATGCTTACCTGGAAATGTAAAATTTGCATGAGGCAAGCATGTGCGGAATTCGATATGGAAAAAAGAAATAAAGAGGAGCTATAATAGTGTGATTTATAACACCCACAATTTTTTATTCACGTATTTTTAGAAAAAAAAGAATTTTTTATGTAGAGTTTCTCACTCAAGCGAGATGTGTCTCGCTCGCTCAAGCAAGACAGAATCATTCTGAACCAAGCCTTCTGGAGCATTCTCGCTCAAGAGAGAGAAGATAACATTGTCCCAATTGTCCTCTTGTCATGACCTCTTTTTGTAAAGGATCAATGATATCCTGAGTTACTACTCCTAATTCCTCAAAATTCATTCATGAGATAATACATATATGGTACAACAAATGAATTTTTTTTTAAAATTAAACTTCCACATTTCAACAATAGATTAACAAAGCCTTTAGGGCATTTTCATATAACCCAAAATTATATAAGCGTATATCTTTACAACGGTCGCTCCACGTGGAGCTCAAAATACAAAATTTATGCATAATAATAATTACATTTCTTAAAAACTATAGGTAAACAGTCTAGACCTATATATCACTAAAACCTAGATTGACAAAATAATTTAAAAGCTACAATTTTCCCTCAAGAGTATGTCGACTATGACATTCCTCAGCCAGATCTTCCAGCTTGAGAAGTAGCTACAACATTTATCACCTTTACTCACTTACTACTGCACGATCATTGCAAAAAACACACACATACCAACACAGATAAAATACAAGGGTAAGCTTACGAAATAAAAATCATAATCTTAAATAGCTGAATATGAACATAAATGTTATACAGATTATTATTTCAATAATTTTCAACACATAAAGCAGCAATACAATCCATTGTCAACTCTTTTAGTACAATAATAACAACTCAGCCCCAACTGGCATCACAGTCTTAGTAACCCCAAAGGAACCTACAATCTTCTGGTATGGGAGCGATCTATTCCGATACTGGATCCAGATAAAATACAACTCAACTCGACATGTTTCCCAAATCATTACATGCCTACTACCTCAACTCAGCATGTTTCCTCGTCATTACGTGCCTATGACCTTAACTCATGTAACTCAGCCCCAATAAGACAACATTTCATACAAATGCTACTAAGTCATATGATAAGCATTTCAACATAACATTTCTTAGCTAGTCTCATCACATACATCAACTCAATATATTCATTAACAATAATCAATCCACCCAGCCATGCTTACTTGAGATTCTTCCTTAGGGTTTGTTCATACACGTACTTACTCTCAGCTAAGACAAAATTATACATATAGGTTTCTGCATCTAGTAAATGTATAAAGTCAACTCAAGTAAACTCCCTTTACTTGGAATGGATTTCCTCAGATAGAACTCCACGTAAGTTTCCAAGGAAAGAAACAATGCTCGAGGGCTCAGATTTCCTCACTAGATCCGTACTAAACAGAGGTTTCCACTTGGATCAGAAAGAAATTTGACCTTGAGAAGGTTTTCTCTAAGAGAGGAAGGCTATCTGGTGAGAAAAATGAACATTTCTCGATGATGGAGTTCCTTAAATACCCTTCCAAGTCTGTTCGCTCTCACTTTAGCGAGCCTTACTCTCGCTTAGGCAAGCTCATCCTCGCTTGGGCGAACAAACTAGACAGTGGAACCTCTTAAATTTCTGCTATTCTCGTTTGAGCAAGGAGCATCTCGCCTGAGTAAGCTACATCTCACTTGAGCAAGATTGGTTCTAAAGAGCTACCCATTTTTCTTACGACTCCTTGCTTGATTGAGTATCTCTCACCTGAGCAAGGTTGCTTCTCGCCTGAGCGAGATCCCTTCTCACTAGGGCAAGAGGACAGTTGTGGTGATCCTATCTGTTCTTACGATTCCTGCAGATTTGAAATATTTTCTGCCTTTGCTCTCGCATGGGTATGCTCATGGCAGAGTGAGTCTGACTCTTCCTCTATGGGCAGTACCTCCCCTGGAAGGGGCTATTGCCTTTCTAGGCATGTTATTTATCCGATAAGAATTCACGAGTAAGATAGTCAGGGAGGGAATTGGAAGTGTCTTTAAGATATTCTATGTCAAAATCAAATAACTTAAAATTGTTGGTCATCTTGCAAAAATTTGTTTTGATGCAAGGTTTTTAACATCTTTTTGTAAAATTTCTTTGGCATATTTACAATCTACTCTGATGAGAAATTTTTTATTTAATAAGTTTGATTGAAATTTATATTCTTATAGCTAGTTTTATTGGTCAGCTTAAAGGTTGGTGGGATAATTATCTTACTGAAACTGATAGAGAACGTATTCTCTCTGTAGTAAAAATTGATGACAAAGGTAAGACCATTGTCAATAATAATGAACAACTTTTTGATGCTGTTTACACTCTGCTTTATTGTATAGCTCAACATTTTCTTGGAGATCCTTCTTTATGGAAAGAAAGATCTGGAGAGT